CTTCTATAAAGATATTTTGTTCAACCATCAGTCCATTGTGATTAAACCTATTTATGACCGCACCTATTCTAGTAAAGTTGTTTACCATTCCCTTTATATTCATAATGTCATTTCCCTAGCTGAATGGGGTTCTCCTTTTCAACTTCGAGATTTACCTAATCACTCCCTTCAGTATAGTTATTATGACTATATTGATGCCTGGTTCAAAATATTTCTCTATCAAACTGATACATTTAGTCACTCCTGGTTCATCCAATTTGATCAAAAGTTTAAATCTGAATTACCTACTTGGTTTCTGCGATGGTGGACTCATTATGGCGCCATTTCAGATATCTTCCTAGCCATTGTGCTGGAACAGGCTAACTATTTTTCAACTATTTTCTCATTCACTCCACAACAGAAGAAATTCCCTAAATTGCTCATTTGTATATCTAAATACAAAATCCCTTGGATATTTAAATGGCATTATGGCATTTCTGATGATGTTGTTCAAAGAATTCATTCGGTTAAACGGTGGGATAGTTACAAAATTTCCCGCATTATTGAACTTGTTCAAACTAAGTTCCCGGTTAACATTCATGCTCCAACTCCTGCAATGGTTAAAGCTCAGCAGAACCCAACTGCTCAATTAACACAAGGAAGCCAACTTCCTACAATCAACCTTGGAAGCCTAACTTCAAGTTCTTCTAAGCCTAAGTCATCCAAGTTAAAGGCTCAATCAAAGGATAAATCAAAGACTGCAAAGCCCAGCACTGCTAAGCCCAAATCAGAGGATAAATCTAAGTCAATAGATAAGCCCAAGCCAAAGCCCAAATCATCTAGAGATGAGTTGCTCAAAATGGCTCGTCTACTGGTTGATCAAGTCGAAGCCCAATCAGATTCAGATAACAGCAATTCAGAAGAAGGATCAGACAATTCAGACTCTTCTGAAGGTTCAACTACTCAAAACCCATATGGACTCGAGTTTCAAGATGCTCAGGACCCATATGCCTAGTCAGCTCTGCACTGGATTTCACATAGATACAAATTCGCTTCAATCAATACTCTTTTGAGAAAAGCTACCAATTTGTATTTATATTGATTCCCTGATAATATGTCTCCACCGAAAGTAATAAATAGTAAAAAGTCACTATTCACTTTTACTATTCATCACTCAATCAATCTGCTAAAATCTGCTTTAACTTTTGTCAATCAGCCGAAAGCATCCGACAACTTGCTTTTGTTCATGTGCTGCCAGCTGCTCTCTTGATTGACTCCCAGACACATGCTGCATAGTTGAATTTTCTATCTATAAATTGTAATGGTTAATTCATTTGTAGGCAGAGTTGATTGGAAACTATCTGAGTGAGAACCAACACCTAGTCAAATATTAAAATTTCTGTAAATTTCTATTTTAAAGAATGTATTCAGAAGCAACCCAGTGTTTCTTCTACTTCTATTAAAACAATTGTAAGTTACTTTGATTAAAATATTTCAAGTTATTTGTGTTTATATATATGTATATATACATTTATCAACAATGAGGAGATAGAACTAACTAATTTTTCTTTTGAACCTAAAGACATTGTAGATTCTGTGGACTGTAAGACATTTTCTCTGGACTTTATGCTAGGCAATTAGGATGTGATTCTTCCATTTCAGTGCTTAATTTGCCTCAATTTTGCCAGTTTATAATGCCAAGAACGACCTATATCCTCTTCACTTGTAGTTTGGCTAGATGTGACTGCAACATCATATAAGACTTCATCTCTGTTACTTTCTTCACTCCCTTTTACATCAGTCTCCTGCTCAAGAAGCATCATTGAAGATTGCATCTCAAGGTCACCAACATTTGCTTCTTTTAGTGAATCTGTGAATGTCTCATATTTAATATGGGACAAATCACTTGTTGAACCATTCACACTGCTGTTCCCAACAGCAAGTTCCTCAATCTTGTTGTTGGAACTTACCACCGAATCATAGTTACAACTTGACAAAATATCTTCAATGGACATAGCACTTCCTAACAAGTTGGTTTCAGGCAATAGATCGAAACCACTTCGTATCTATCTCTTTATACCTTCTTCACTAGAGTTGTGATTTTCCTTGGTTGAGATTTTAGAGAGAGAAAATTGAGAGAAGAGAGAAGCGTTGGAAGAATCGAGCGATGATCTGGTCTCTCTGGAGATGATGATGATGATAAAGCCGAAGCTTTCATGCTCGATTCGTTCGATATTTTGTCAAATTTCTCTGTGATATATGGGGTCAGGATTTAGGGACCTTAGACATAATAACATAATATTATGGACTTTATCCATTACTAAAAATGGGATAGGGACCTTAGACTAATTTTCTCTAATATATTTGGAGCAAAGAAGAGGGTGTGTTTGGATTAAAGTGGAGTGGGAATAGCAACTCCCATAAAAAATTAAAACTCAACAAGTTATGTTATTACAAGTAAAATTAAGGAATGCTTTTTAAGGTCTCAGTTTTGAGAGCCTAAGAACACAAAGATTGATCATAACACAACTGTCTCACATAAAATGAATTTCATCTTTTTGTAGGGCGTGAAAAGAAAAGAATTATTATGGTTTTCTCATAGGTCAAAAAATGAATGTGTTTTCTCACCAACATGTTTAGATGAGTAAGAAAGCAAAATATGTAAGAGATGGATATGAGTAAGGTTTCTTTTCTTTTTTTTCATTTGTGTTTTAAAGGTCAATCTTTGTATTATAAATATTTTATAACGAATCAACTTGTTTCTCACTAAATACATCACTTTTTGTGAGAAATGAAATATGTTTAATAAGATAGTTCTCTTTCTCACTATACTCATCTTTTCTCACCATTTCTCACTCAACTTAGACCATCTCCAACCGTTCACCAAATTCATCATCAAATTCAAATTTGATGAAAAAAATGTACTTTTTGTGCTCCAACAATTTCACCAAAACGGTATCAAATTGAGAAAATATCAAACGTTTCACCAAACTAAGGATCTTTTGCACTTTTTAGCAATTTACTGTGTATAGTCGTTGAGTGTGGACTACCGGACAACCGGCCAGACGTCCTCCCAGATGACCACCTCAAGCAAAATTTTGTGAAAATTTTACACTGAAATGTCGACCCCCTGGTCGACCACCAACAATTAATTGCTTTGTTTCCTTGAGATATCCATATATACTTAACATGTCCACCATAAGAACATAGTGATCCATGTCTAATTCAATCCCATAATTTGTTTTCATTTTCCTAAATTCTCTTTTCTTTTCTTTTATTTATTTTTTCTTTTCTTTTTTTGAGAGAGTTGAAGTCATGAAATCTATAAATAATTCCATGTTTCCCAACTGCTAAATTTTGGGTTTGTTTTACTTCTTCAGCCGAGATATGTTTCTAACAGAAGAATGGTTTCTCTACTGATTGAGCAATTTTGCAGTTGAAAAAAAAAAAGAAAAAACAAGAAGGCTGCCAATGGATCAGATTTGATCCAAATCTAGTCCAAATTCAATAAGGAGAAATCCGATCAAATAATCCAAAATGATACCAATTCAAAAATCTGATAATGAAATATTATTGTTATTCGATCATTAATTCAATCCCCAAAACATCTGTGAAAATCAAACATGGCGAAGAGAGACTTGCTGAACAATTCCCCCCGGTCGTCCTCTTCCTTGAACAATTCCCACTATCTTCATCAGCCAAACTAGGCAAGTAGTATGCGGGAGCAAAAAAGTGAATTGCTGAGTTGTTTTTGTTGTTGTTGGCCTCCTCATTTTGCTGCTTTTTCTTGGCACTTTTTCTCTTCTTTGCACCTGATGGCATGATTGATGGGTTCTTGTGGTGAAATAGGGAAGCTAATAGAAATGGGGTAAACCTAGGACAGACATGTGAAGCAAAAAAGTGAAATTTAAGAAAAGGGAAGGAAAAAAGAGAGAGAGAAAACCCATAAAAAAAGTGAATGAACCTTGAGAGTGCCATTGCAGGCACAAGGAGACTCAATCTGATGCTCTTCATCTTCCTCCTGACAAATCCTACACTCTCTCACAACGTTTTCTGAACAACCCACACCTCCACCATTGTTGTTCTTAACAAAGACCACTTCACTATTATTAATAGAGGACAACAGATCATTATCAATCACTACTTCACCACCACTACCACCATCAGTAGCATCACTACCACCATTAGCACCTCTTAAGAGTCTTTCTCTCTCATTGACGGACTCAAAGCATGTTGATGCTATTAACCTATCAACACACACCATGAATTCATCCACCATCTCTTCTCTGCTTATATTGTTGTTTTTTTATTTTTTGCATTGACCGGTCGACCGGCCGGTCGTCCGCCCAGTCGACTGATGGTTTGATGAAAACTCAAATTCTTCTGTTGGAATAGGCGATATCAGATAGAGGAATTCGTCTTTTTTTAACTCAAATTTGATGAAAATTCAAGTAAACCTTTGGAGATGATCTTACAAACTAAACATAAGAAACTTTTCACCAAATCACCCTATTCAATAAGAAAAATTCTATGATACATACCCCTTAAGATGTGTGTATCATATGCACCCTATTCCGTATTTTTGTCGTAAATATAATGTATTTTTCTTATGGTGTGTTTGGTTGGGGAATTTGGAGAGGGATTTGGAAAGGGAAAGGGAAAAGGTATGTGAAACTATGTGAAATATATACATATTTTATTCACATTTCACCTACCTTTTCCATTTCCCTTTTCAAATCCCTCTCCAAATCCCCCAACCAAACATAACATTAGTAGAATTACAACAATTTGTGATTTAAAAATGAAGTTACATATTTTGTGATAATATTATGTATTTTTGTTAGTAGAATTAATAACATTAGTACAAAATACATAATTTTATTTTTGAACTTTATAAAAATATATATATAATATTTATCATAAAAATACATAACAAGAATGTATATGGTACACGATTGTCGCTAGAAATGGGTTTTGGAATTTGTTAACATTCTCTAAGATAAATAGGCATTACCCTTCAGACAAAGGGTAAGAGTAAAATACAGACATTCAAATCCATATTTGATTGATGAGTGAAAATATTCACACCAGCTCAGGTAAGAGGCACACCACAGTGTCAAACTCAATCACCCACTCCAAATTTCCAGAACCCACAAAATATCTTTCGAGTTTGAGAGTAAAGTTTTCATCTTTGGTTTATGTTATCCACCAAGCTAACACACATCATCATCATCCTTTCTTCCCTCCCCAAACAACTTTCAAATCATCACTACTTCTCAACGGCTACTTTCCACTCCTCCCCACTCTCTTCCCTCCCACCACGCCCTTCTCTCAGCCAAACCAAGCAAGTCCATGCTCTCATCATCACCTTCGGTCTCTCCGCCCAAACCCATCTCATGGGTCACCTCATTGCCGCCTTGGCTCTCTCCCCATCATCATCATCATCATCATCATCCCCAATTGTGTATCCTCGCTCCATCTTTCAATCAATCCAAAACCCAACTGTTTTCACCTCCAACAACATGATTCGATGCTTCGCCAAGAGCGATTCGCCTCGTGAATCGGTTGTTCTCTACGCCTCTATGCGCCGAAGTGATTTAAAGCCCAATAACTACACTTTTCCTTTTGTTTTACAGGCTTGTAGTAAGGCTTTGGCGTTGTTTGAAGGGACTCAGGTCCATGCCCATGTTGTAAAACTTGGTTTTGGTGAAGATGTTTATGTTAGAAATTCTTTGATTCACTTGTACAGTGCTTGTTGTAGGGTTGAGTGTTCAAAGAAGGTGTTTGATGAATGTCCTCAATGGCGTGATGTTGTTACTTGGAATGCGATGTTGGGGGGTTATGTAAAACATGGGCAGACTGGAGTTGTGGAGAAGCTGTTCGGTGAAATGCCTGAAAGAGATGTTATATCATGGAGTTTAAAGATAATGGGTTATGTACAAAACGGGCAATTGGAAGAAGGGTTAGAGTGTTTTAGAGAGATGCGAGAGAAAGGGTTGATTCCGAATGAGGCTATATTGGTTACAGTGCTGTCAGCATCGGCCCAATTGGGTTTGCTTGATCAGGGCCGATTAATTCATTCCATTATTAGCTCTTTCAATTTTCCAATCAGTATTCCCATTGGTACAGGTCTCATCGATATGTATGCAAAATGTGGGTGTATTGAGCTGGCTAGAGTTGCCTTTAACCAAATGCCTCAAAAAGAAGTTTGTTCATGGAACGCTATGATTTGTGGGTTGGCCACACATGGACTTGGGAAGGAATCTCTTGTGCTCTTTGAAAGGTTCATAATGGAAGGTTTCCATCCCGTGAATGTGACTTTCATTGGGGTCTTGAATGCTTGTAGTAGGGCAGGCTTGGTCAACGAGGGCCGGCATTATTTTAAGATAATGACTGAGAAGTATGCCATTGAGCCAGAAATGGAGCATTATGGTTGTATGGTTGATCTCTTGGGTCGTGCTGGACTAGTAGTTGAAGCCATTGAATTGATTGAGAAGATGTCAGATCAACCAGACCCGGTTTTATGGGCTACACTACTTGGTGCATGCAAGATTCATGGGTTAGTGGAATTAGGTGAAAAGATGGGGAACAAACTAATCCAATTGGATCCAACCCATGATGGACATTATGTACAATTATCTGGTATTTATGCCAAAGCGAGGAAATGGGAAGATGTAGTGAGAATTAGAAGATTGATGGTTGACCGAAAAGCTAACAAGGTTGCTGGTTGGAGCTTGATTGAAGCACAAGGAAGACTTCATCAGTTTGTTGCAGCGGATAGAGAGCATGAAAGGTCTTCAGAGATTTACAAGATGCTTGAAATAATTGGAACACGAATAGGAGAGGCTGGCTACGTTCCCAATGTTTCGCCAATTCTGCATGATATAGGAGAGGAAGAAAAGGAGAATGCAATCAAGGAGCACAGTGAGAGGTTGGCAATGGCTTTCGGTTTTTTGGTTACAGGTTCTGGGGATTGCATTCGAATTGTGAAGAACTTGAGAGTTTGTGGAGATTGCCATGACTTTAGCAAGGCCGTATCAAAAGTGTTCAAGAGGGAGATAATCGTGAGGGATGGGAGCAGATTTCATCATTTTAAGGACGGAAAGTGTTCCTGCCTTGATTATTGGTAGAAATTTTATTCCCTATTCTTCAAGGGAAACAGTGTGACTTGCCAAAATGAAGAAAAAGAAGAGAATGTGATCAAAGATTGATGCCCATCCTTTGGATTCAGACACAATATCTGTGCATGGTTAAATAAAGGGCAATCACATTGCAAGAGGCTTCTGCCACTATGGTATTTGGGAATGGTTGGATGTGCACAACCTTACTCTTGTTCATAGGGAGGGTGTTTCTGGTTTGAACTTGTGACACCTAAGTCACAATGCAGCAACCTTACCATTGTGCCAAGGCCCGCCCTCGTCTGTGCACTATTAAATAAGTTAAAAAAATCGTTGTTAGTTCTCTGGTGTGGATGGTAACTTTGGCCTCCCAAAAGGAGTAGATGGTGACATTGGACTCCTTTTAATCCTACCCTCCATGTATTTGTTTAGCATAATTTGTTCCTTGATTTATTCCCAGTTTTCTGGGTTGACAAGAAAGCTAATTATTCTATTTCAGGAGGAATATCTCAAGAAAGCGAGTTTATTATTGCTTGATCTGCCCTTCCTCCAATTGAAATTTGATGGTTCATACAAATCAGATTGTAATTTGCACGAGGGAGCAGCACCATCTAATCTTGGGGAAAAGCTCCATTATGATGTCATCTTGTCCTTGGGGAAAGGGTTCCTATGTGATCCCCAGACCCAAGTTAATAGTATGAGATTTTCTGTCTTTAAAATTTATCTTAATTCACTTCTAGATCTATAATTGTGTTTTGAGATTCCTATCCTATCATATCGTGCAATGAGAAGTGCATTAAGAATAGAAAACATAGATTTTAGGGCGAAGGATCTCCCATCAAAATCAATTGTATCGTTGATTAAATGCATTAGCACAATTGGAATTTTCTCCAAGACAATGATCCTGGTCTGACTTTATGTCGTAGTTTTTATTCTCATTTTATACTTGCAAGTTATTATATTTAATTATTTATTTATTTATTTATCTTACACCAATGGTGTTTGGTTGTAATTTTGAGGTGCGGCTACAAGCTAGTCTTATGAACTAAACTTATTTATCAAAAAATCATGGGCAATATAGTTTGAGGCTTGTGTCATTTCAGTCCTTGACTTTTTAATTGTGACACATATGACCTTAAATTTCGAATCTTGTTCTAAAAAAGGACAATTAACATACCATTGCTTAATTTCAAGGGCAAAATCATCAATTTGATAAAATATAAATTAATTTGACAAAAACAAATGTCAAAAAAATATTTTAAAATTTTTAAAAATTATTTCTATCCACTAAAAATAAAATTATGTAAAATTGATAAAATTAATGAAACTTACATGATTAATTTTTAAAAATTAATTTTACATGATCATCATCCAAATACATAATAAAAATTGATTTGGTAAAAAAAAAAGAAATAAATGTCTAAAAGATTTATCAATTTTATATAATTTTTTTCTCTAATTAGTAGAAATAATTTTTAAAAATTCAAAAATAATTTTTTAACATTTATTTTTATCAAATTAATTTATACTTTATCAAATTGACTATTTTTCTCTTGAAAAATCTAATAGTATCTTCAATTGATAAAATATAAAATTAAATCCACTAGTATCTTCAATTGAAAAAATTTTAAAAATTATTTCTACCCACCAAAAATAAAATTATGTAAAATTGATAAAATTAATAAAAATTACATGATTAATTTTTAAAAATTAATTTTACATGATCATCATCCAAATACATAATAAAAATTAATTTGGTAAAAAAAATATAAATGTCTAAAAGATTTATCAATTTTCTATAATTTTATCTTCAGTAAGTAGAAATAATTTTTAAAAATTAAAAAATATTTTTTTAGCATTTATTTTTATCAAATTAATTTATATTTTATCAAATTGACAATTTTGCCCTTGAAAAATCCAATAGTATCTTCAATTGTCCTTATTTGGAACAAGATTCAAAATTCAGGGTCAAATGTGTCATAATTGAAAAGTCAGGGACCAAAATAACACAAGTCCCAAACTATAGGGATCATTAGTGTAATTCACCCAAAAATCATTTAACTTTCAATAATAAATTTATCATTGTAAAAAAAAATAAAATAAAATTCAACTACTTATACTGGCCAGATCATATTTCAATATGAACTAACACAGATGAACTAAAAATAAATTAAAACCTACAAACAAAAGGAAAAATGCCCCAATCATTTATCACTTTAATAAATTTATTAATATCATTACCAGTACCAAATGATCATTTCACAAATATTTAAAAAGTCACAAAAATTTCTCTATTATCAAAGCGAGAGGAAAATACGTATATAAAAAAAAATTTACTCAAGATTTATGAGTAAATAAGTCCAATCAATAGGATCTACTAGTAATTTTCCCCAATTCTTTAAAACTAGGGTAAATTATATTTACACCCCAGAGATTTGAGTTTAATACATATCACTTCCTGACGTTTGGAAAATTATATTGACCCCTTTGTCATTACAATTATTTAGACGGAATTAACGTTTGTATAAAAAAGACATTGAATTCATACATTCTCTCTTTCTTGCTTTACTTTACTTATTCTATGTATTTTTTTTCCCTTTCCTTTGCTTTACCCTTTTTTTTTTTTCAATGTAATTTCTTCTGTTTTTCTAACCAAAAGTTGTTACATTTTATCTAAGCAGGGGGTTTATGAAATGAGATTATTAACCACATGGGTAGGAATGTAATTTTCCAAACGTCAGAAAGTGAGATGTATTAAACCCAAATCCCAGGCGGTGTCGGTGTAATTTTCCTTTAAAATTGTAACTTATTTGAATTTTTTAAACTTGGACTCTAGGAAAAAAGAAAGAAAGATATTATCATAAATTACCATTTGTAACTTAAAAAAAAAAAAGTAAATTAGGTGCTCGCTTAAATTAAAAAAGTAAATATTATTTTGCATTATAAAATTAAGGGTAGATTACATTTTGTCCCCTTTATATTTAGTCGTTTTTCCACTTTAGCCTTTAAAGTTTATTTTTTCTATTTTGTCCCTTCATGTTTTAAGTTTTTGAATAATGTTTTGTAGCTCAAAATTTGTGGCTTGAATGGCCCGAATGTGCCAGATGCACGCACTCATGTATCTCATCTCTCTCTCTCTCTCACAGACCCATCTCTCAGACCCAAACCAAAGTCTAAAATCGTTCCCTCTCCTCTCTGGAAAAACACCCCTTGCATTTGAAAATTTGCAAAGATCTTTTTGTTAATTTCACGTTTACAAAAATCTTCATTCAAACAAAGAGAAGTTTGAACAACAGTGTATCAATATCATTTTTTCAGAGACCTGAAAATCATGTTTGAAAATGGCATGCAGAAAATAGAGAACAAAGAGAACAAGTGTTTAACTGATGAATACATATGGACAAAGCCAAAGAATCTAAAACAACCTACTTTTGTTTCTAAAAACAAAAACTCAACTAAGCAGAGTGTATATAATACAATTTGAAGAAAAAATAGAAGCAAAAACAGAGACTAATCACCTTTTATTGTGTCATAATGGCCTCAAAGCTTTGAGTGAAGTTTTAGTGGTGAGAGAAGGCTTGACTTGATGAACAATGGTGTCGTCGGTGGTCGTCAGTAAAGATTTTGAACAAAGGTGGATGGTGCTCTGCTCTCTTTCTAGGTTGTGTTCTTCTCTCTCTCTCTCTCTCTCTCCCTCCCTCTCCTCTCATTTCTCGTCTATTTTACAACAATGATCTCCCTCCCTCCCCTCTCATTTCTCGTCTATTTTACAACAATGATCTATAGCTCGAAATAAAGAGCTCGAATGGCCCGAATAAAAAGCAAAGTGTATTATCTCTCTTTAGACTCCAAAAGCATATGTTTGTACTCACTCTCTCCTCAGACGCCAAAATATCATCTCTCTCTACTAACTCCAAAAGCATTCAAGCCCTTAATTTCTCTTTGAAATCCTCTCATCCAATCCTTTCATCCTTCATCTCTCTATGAAACATCCAACTCTGTGAACGCGTAAAGATAGATCTTGAGCTATGGGTGTCGACTCGCAAACGGAAAGTCGTTTACCCAGCAGAACAAAAGGTAAACCCAGAATCGCAAAAAACCTAGGATATATGTATTGGGTTTATGTGTTCGCTTCAATTTCCGAACAAATTTGTCGCAGTAGACTGTTTATGTTTGGATTTTGCTTGCAATTTGTGTTAGGGTTTTGGTTTTGACTTGAATTTTTAGAACATGTTTTTTGGCCCTATGAATTAATGATTGTTAGGGTTTATAAAAACTCGGGTTTGGGCATTATGGGTTTTGCCTTCAATTTTTTTTTGTTATGTTGATTTTGATTGTAAACCAATATTCTAACTTCGGAAATCTGTGCATGTGAAATGTGGATATCTGTTGATGAAAGCTGTTCTTTACCCATTATTCTCTGACTCAATTTGATGGCAAATATGAATGAACATCCCTAAATCATTGAAATCCAGAAATGTTCAAATGTGGTTAACTTAATTTACTTCACAAGGTTCAATTAGAAAAGCATGGACAACACAATGCTTAAAACTGTGCATTTGAAATTTCATTATCTGTTGATGAAATCTATTAGTTACCCATTATCTGTTGATGAAATCTGGTATAATGTAAATGGTGGAAATCTGGAAATGTTGAAATGTGGTTAACTTAAGGTTATATATCTATTATGGGTTTGTCAAATTATTTTAACTACTTTTTAGTATCTTTGTTGAATTGTATGCTATCATTAAGTTGAACAAGGTTTATGTGTTGGGCTAGAGACCATAGTTATAACCAACAAACATGTGTATTTCCATTGTTTAGTTAAAGTGTCAACAATAGCTATCTATGTATCATGTCTCTATTTTGTATTTTGTATGCAGATTAAAAAATAGCTTGTTCCTCTACTAACAATAGCAACATAAGATTAAAACCAAGATTGTGTGATTGTCGAAGAACAGTTGCCATGTACATTGTCCAAACCAATGAGAATGGAAATTAAGGGCATTTGTTCTTTGTTTGCCCATCAAAATATGTAAGTTGTAAGGAAATTTGTTTGTAAATTTGTTTGGAAATTGATTAACCTGATTTGATTAACTGATTGTCATGCATTGTAGAGTAATAAGGAACATTGTAATTACTTCAAGTTCGCAGATGATGATGATCACAACGTGATCTCCATAATCCGTTCCAATGCTGCAGCTTGTAAAGCTATAAGAAACGAAGTATTTAACAATCTCAGAACATGGGTTTCAAAGATGGATAATGAAATTCATGAGCATGGTAGCAGGCTTCGAAAGATGGAGAAGAATTTCAAGGCGATGTTTTATGTCATTGTGTTTTGTATTGTTTTTTAGTTTATAATGTAAATTACTGAGTTGTTAGCTTTTGGAAAATTTCATGGATGTACTTATGGATTAAATGGACTTGATGGATTGTGGGTATGTGTTGTGATGATTTGAATATGAGTAATGAAAAACCTGTTCTGTTTTCAATTGTTGTTGATTTGGATCATTAAGTATATATTGTTGAATGTGAGCAACAAATTAACAAATTAACCAAAACCAGCTCTGTTTTCACCAAACCTGATCTATCCATGCTTTGACCTGCTGTGCCTATGAACCAAAACTTGATCTATCCATGCTTTTACCTGCTCTGTCCATGAACCAAAACCTGATCTGTCTATGCTTTTACATGCTCTGTTGTAGACGCGCCCGCGTGAGGCCCTCGTGCTACAGTTCGGACCCAATTTGTGTCACGGTTCTTAATCTGAACCAAAGAGTCCAAATCCGGCAAATCGTTTTGAGAAACAGATTTTTGAAAAGAAGTGCCAAACATGGACTGCTTTGCCAGATACAGAGTCGCCACCTAAATATTTTTTATGGGGGAATTTAGGAAATCCTGACTCGGTGCCAAAGGCCACGTGTCCATCATCACCGAAGTTGCCTCGGCTCGGGAGCTTGGGTACGATTGGGGAAGGTCTGCTATGAGCACCCCCTCTCGCCCAATCCGAAGATCGGCCTCTACTAATCATGATATCAAGTTTTGAAAACATTATTATTCCGGTTATTAGCCTAGAATTACTATGTTATGCGCACAGCAAACAAGTATAGACCAAATCGCCTAAATTGGAACAAACATTGCATGTTCGTTTGAAGATGGTTTGCTACTCGCAAGTAGGCTAAAATGCAGGTTTTGCCACCCTCGAGTGGGCTTTCAGAAAAGATGGTTTTGCCACTATCAAGTGGGCTTTAAAACTCACAGTTTTATTGCTTTATCCCAATCTAGGTAATTCAACCTCCATCCACAGACATTCAAGCAGCTATATCACATAAGCAGCTAGCCTCATGGTAATTATGCTGTTATGGCAACACTCACACGCATACGGTATGCTAAAGCATGAATGCTTACTGAGTACTCCGAGCCAAAACAAAAAACTAGTTAGTAATCATATGCATGATCCTAGTTCATGTTAAGATGGCTAATGCAACACATGCAAAATGCGATTAAGATAGGCTCGGCTAATCTATAATGACATGTGAAATGCTACAACTAATCACGTATTCAACTTTGGAATTGAAATACAAATGCAGTTAGTATGATACGCCGAACCCGGTGCATGCAAGACAAATGTATGGATGCACGCATGCATAGCATAAGGTATGCTAATTTAAATATGCCCTAATACTAACCATCAAAAGCAGGTAAGTAAAAAGGAGAAAGAAGTGGGGGTTGGAAGACATGCACACACGCACCCACACTTATTACAAATTCGCCCTCGCTTGGAGGGACCAAAAGAATATACAAATTAATTATTACAGACCACTTAATTAATTAACAAATTAACTAAACTATGGAAAGCAGTAAAAGACCTCGGGAAAAGGGATGAATGCATGCTCGGATTGGCTTCGCTCGGAAACCCAATGCCATGCCACTGTTGCCTCTATTTACACTGTTTTGCACCTCTGAAAATTGCATAAGTCTCCAAGATGCTTCTGAACCACCTTACTCCCTATCATGCAAGGGACTCGAGGGAGCATGACCCTTGACCCTCTGGCCATCAATCATGCATTTTGATGCGTGATGGCCTAAGGAGCCAAGGTTGCAATTCAATGAAAATGCATGCAACATATAAATGAAGACCAAGACCCAATCATGCCAAAGTCAAGGGCCTCGGTGACCGAGAATTGAGATGCATTACATCACTTATAGTATGAACAATTCTCCCCCCTCGCACTTGGTTTGACACCCCAAACCAAGCAATGCAATGCATGTTATGCAAACATGGCTCGAAAATGCAACATATTACTAAAATGCAAAGCATGCCAAAATGTAATGCAACATATCATGGCAAATATGCAATGTTCCTAACATGCAATGCTAATACGGTACAATGCACGCATGCAATTAGAGGCAACAAGTCAAACATATAACCATGTCCAAGAAGGGACTTAGACTGAAATGGGAGGCCTCAAACACCCCCAAAAAGAGTGGCTAAAAGTGCCTCAAGTGATGGACAAAATGCACTACAAGCATGCAAGTCAAAAGGGGCCCAAGGCTAAGGCATAACAATAGGGCACTCCGCTACCACTAACCCAAACATAACCCAAACAAACATGGCATGAACTATACAACCAAAAACAGAATTTTAGCATGCAAAAAGAGCCCCAAAACCCACACATATGGCATCCCAAATGAAACAAACACCTAGGCATACACAATGCATGTTTCAAGGCCTAAGAAGGGGGCAACTTCAAAGCATGAGAGAAGCGATGAATGCAAGTATGCAAGCATGGTTTAGGTACTGAAATGACATGCTAAGTGATTCCAAATCACCGAAATAGCCTAACCAATGCATGTTCATGACCCATACCCTTAAGGCTCTCAAGCCAAAATACAAAGCAACTATATCAAGCATGCTAAACAAGACCAAATCAGTGGCCAACAGACCTCATGTATGACAAAATATGGTCAAGAACCTCACAAAGTGAAGCCAAAATATGAGAGCATGGTAGTCAAAAGTCATGACGTATTTCTAGGCACAAACAAGGGAATACAAAGCAAGTATGTTAAGCATGCAAAGGGCCACCAATCCGACCAAAAAAAGAGATAACATGTGACCTAAATAGCACCAAAAACATGTGATATGGAGCCAAAAACAACCAAGCATATATGCTACCCTTATGAGCCCAAAACATGCACAAATGAGACACAAAGGGAGAGGGGTGTCCCTCCCCTATACAAGACTTCAAACCATCTTCTTCACCACTGAAAATCCACTGGATTTCAGTGGTGAGAAGGTTAATACAACAAAGCAAATAAGGCTTAAAGAAAAAGACACCAAAAGGGGCCAAAAGAGACCTAAGAGGGGGATTTCGACCCCCAATTCCAAAACACCCTTAATGAAAGTTCTTAAGCATGAAAATATAAGACTTTTTTTAGTTATACACAAAACCCAAATCAATATGCAAGATAGGTCAAAAGCCAATGCAAGATTGGGGAAAATAAAGCAAAAAACTCACCCTTGAAGAACACTTCAAGAACAGTTGGTCCAGCCACTCTTTTCTGACCAAAATCAGTCCAAAACCTTAAGAATCAACCTTCAATGTCTCTCAAACTCGAAGCAAGGTGTGGTAGTGTGTGTCTTAGTGCAAAACTAAGGTAAAAATGCACTTTTAGGCCACAAAACACACACAAGGGAGGAGAGAGAGTAAAATATAGAGAGAGAGGGTGTATATATCAGGTATATATATGTATAAGCTCTGGTTTTTCTTTCAAAACCACCAACCCTTGACAATGGGAGAAGAGGGGTCCTTATATAGGCAAAGGGAAATGGTTTAAGCTTCTCAAAGAAGCTAAGTGAAAGGGGCAAAGGGGGCAAAGGAGTCAAGGCTTCTTGAGGAAGCTAGGACAGCTGGCCAAGCTTCCTCAAGAAGCTTGGCCAAAGGGTTCAACCTTCTTGAAGGAAAAGGTGTGCAAAGGCTCAAAACAGTCACTTCATGCACGGGGAGGAGTGTTGGTGCATTCCAGCTGGCATGCACCAAGTCTGAAGGGTGCAAAAGGGTCACACCGGCTAGCAAAAAAGGTCACCGGCCAAAACAAAGTGCCGGTCGGCAAAATATAGTGCTGACCGACCATTGGTTTTAAGAAACCACTGCCGGTGGCACCAATAAACGGTCGGTGATGCAAAGGGGAGGCCGATGGGGTGCGGGGATGGCCAACAAGCCATTCCCTGCCCCTTAAAGCAAAAGCACAAGTGTTTGGTGCAAAACCAGACACCGAAAAGTCGAGTCAAGAGATCCTGAGGCGAGGCGCGCCGCCGAGACCTCCGGGAACTTGAGACGAACACAAGCACGGATGATCACCGAGTGTTCCAACGGTGACGTCCAAGTCTTGAGGACGGTCAAAAATGGGATGTCTACATCTGTCCATGAAAAACTTGCTCTATTTGTTAGCAATTTGTTGTTCAAAAACCTGTTTTGTTTTCACCTACAACTACAATGTTGTTGAAAGAAAGCAACAAATTAACAAATTAATCACAAATCTGTTTTCACCAAAACCTGCTCTGTCCATGAAGAAACTACTCAATTTGTTAACAATATGTTGTTGAAAAGCCTGTTATGTTTTGACCCACAATTAGAATTCAATTTATTGAAAGCAACAAATTAACCAAAACCTACTTAAAAAATAACATGACCACATAATTAACCAACACTTGCTTCCTTTCAATTTCAAAATGCTTCAAAATGGCAACACAACCTGCTTACAAAAATAAGATGACAACATTTATCCAATTCAACTTTCACTCATAATTAACCAAAGCTTGCTTCATTTACAAATGAAGGCAAACAAAATCTACAAATTGTAGCCAACGCAAATGAAACCTAACTCTCCAAACTTTACAAATAATAGTCATCAAATAATTGATTTGGCACTAAAAAAGAAATGGGGCATTTGGATCCGCATCTATATTGAAGTCAATAAATTTTGAAGCTAGTGTCGAACTTTGACTGCTTATATTGATTTATTCCTGCTTGAGTATGAGATGTGCTTTCACTATTGTCCACCATTTGCATTGGGTAACCCCTGCCTATAAAAACAAAGTACGTATTACAAATATTGTCCACAAACATATTGAGTAATATGAAATTTAATGGATGTAAAAAGGATTTGTACTCATATCTTCAACACATACCAGTACATACATACTCTCTTGCGTGCCATCCATGCAAGGAAAGTAGTAAGAGTGAGATTGCGGCACCTTATGATGAAATAGTACCAACATGCGATTAATAATTTGACAGATTAAAATAAAAACAAACAAAATCAATATAATTATGAGAATACATACCGGATGGTACACAGTGTCTTGCATGCCTTACGTAGAATCAAAGTTTAAGTTACGAGGTTCACCTTGGCGCACCTTACAACCTTATAGTAACAGACATTGGTTAATAATTTAGGTTAAAATTTTTTTGAAATTTACATATCAAAC